TTTTTAGAGTCCGCAACTTCGAATCTGGAGTTATCACAATAGCTGAAAGCGCACCTGTCAAAACGTCAAAGTGGGATAAAGTCCTCAGCATGTTGGCCAAGAAAATTCTTCCGGGTGCGAGCGACTACAAATTGGTGGACAACAACGGTCGGTGGAAGGAGCATTACTTTTGAGTTTCGTCAGTCTTTAGAATGGCGGTGTTCATGCATGTACATGTACTCAAAAAATTGATCAACAGCTCCTTATCGACAACACGCCGATGTTAAGTTCTAGAGAGCACTGTCCTAACATTTTTTAATCCTCTTATCTTGTCATTGACGACGATGATTTTGATGCAATTCAAAACCCTTGGAATAAAGAGAATCTGTTTATTCGAAGTCAAAGGCGAAGCAATTTTGATAGTCGGCAGCCTCGCACAATACTGTTCTAATGATCAAGGCAACGGCCGTAAGCCACCTTCGAGCAGCAACGGGGCACGTTTTGGCTGAAACTATGCCTTTAATCTTGGTCGGATGTGCTATGGACATAGGCTCTGAGCCAATTCGACATTATGCGTTTGGACCAGTGGGATCACAAGATTTACATATGGCTGTGGCTCTATGCGAAGAAGATAACCACTACCCAGCTCACAGACGAAAGTCCAGACAGGCTGTTAACAAGATTCATAAATATTTCTTCAACGCCGAGTACTAAGCTGTACGCGATGACAACCTTCACGGCCTAAGGCTTAGCGGCAATCGAGCCAAAACCTACACAGCCTCTGTAAGAGGTAAGCTCAAGAAAAAAACGAGAAGGTGGAGAACATCCGGCTGTGCTATTGGTCGATTCGCGTCGTAAAGATTCTGAAGCGAATTTCGTTCGAGCACGATTGAGGCAATCCATCAAGAAGCACCGACGAGATCAAAGCTATTTGCAGAAAGCTCAGGTGCGACTGTAAGCAATTCTACCAAACGGGCTGGCTTTGAGCTATCGTATTAGCATGTCTACATCTCGTAGACTCACTCGACCTACAGGTTACGCTAAGAAATCTACCAGTTCGAAAGCCACCGGGCAACCTCGGAAAGAGGCAATGTGCCTGGATCGTGACAGATCTCGAAAGTCGCAGTATACGACGGGCTCGCTGATCAAGCATTTGGTGGATAAGCCCGCTAGCGCCATTAATCGGAGCATTCTGATCATTGAACTTACAACTAATGACGATGGAGAAGAAACAGAGCTCATACACGCTGAAAAAATTAAGCCCCTTCACGCGAGGCGGTAAGCGATACTGGAACATCGAATACGAGGATGCCAGCAGTTTGGGGTTGAAGAACTGGCAAGAGCGATTAGCTACTCGTACCAGATGGGACACAACATTGTACCTACTAGAAGCACACTAAGGTGGAGATTAGCAGCTGCATGTATAATCCATAATCCGTCTAGAAGCTACTTAAAGAAAAACTGTATGATCACCCCAAAATACAGAAAACCCTTGCAGGGAAACACTCATACAATTAAGCCCCTCGACGTAATGTACATTCAATCCACCGACATAAAAAAGCCAACATGTCATAGAAAGAATCTGAAATGACAAAAAAAGCCAAAAATGTCTTTAAAAATTGCCCCCAACTACGACTAGAATAATTCGAGCACTTGGTTGTGTCTATTTTCTTCGCGTTCCGTTACAACGTTCACGCTAATTAGTCGTACCCTGACAAATTGTGGTGTACAGATCGAAGCCCTTTATACTGAGAATTCAGCTGTCCATTACCAGTCTAATTTTTAAACCGAGCATACTGGAACAAAGAGCTCGATGTGATCTGCTCAAAGCCGGTCTTTTTCTTTATATTTGATCATTTTTGTAGAATATCCCGGATTTGTGATGTCACTAAAGTGCAAATTCACGACTGATTGCGATCTACGACTAATTAGCGTGAACGGTGTATACCTCTGAGGGCAGGTGCTAAATGAAACCAGCCTATATGCTAAGCTAAACCCCGTTGTCATTGAAGATCCTTTCACGTTGCAGGAGCTGATGACATTTCTCGGGATTTTATGCTAAATGGAGATCATCGACTAAGGCGAAGACGCTAATTACTGGGGATAGCAGGTGAGGGAGATAACCTATCTGGTGGAGGCTACAGTTTAGGTTAGCCTCAGTGGTGCATCTCAGGTGGTTCAAACTACTCAGGCAAGTGTTTTGCTCCCGTTACATGGTGGGGGCAAAGGGCTCCAGTAACGACGCAGCCTCAAAACGTTTAGGCTGATCATGAGTATTACTGAGACAACTGGTCTAAAGAACACCGATGTTGGACGCGATACGGCTCTAAAAGAAGCTAGCGTGGTGTGTCACTTGAAGTTGGGAGGCCACTCATTTCTTACAACCCTATGCAGGCTGCAGATACCAATAGGCTACATTGCAGTCTATGGGTATTTATCACTTCCGGTCATACATGATATGCTGTACGTAGCACTCAACTATCGATTACGTTGCCAAAGTGATGTGTTACTCGCCTCGGTGGCATTACCACCACCAGATCATCCCTCCCCAAGGTTCTTTCAAAAAGATGTGAAACTTGGTGTTGAAGTCCTCTAGACCCGTTGAAACCACAAACAACGTCCTACATCTGGTGACCCGCTGACCGGTGAAGAAGTCTGTTTCCACTACTGTCATGCATGAGCACGTTGTCGAGAATAGCACACCGGTCACATCCTTCGTTCGTTCGACTTTTAAAACCCTGTGTTCGTGTGCGAGGACTACCGACCGACTGCATCCTTTCTTGAGCAGGCTCCTTTCAACTGCGACACATGCTGGGGGAATTGGTCAAACAACCAGCTCTTTGCTTGTTGATAGTATTGCGTGACAGGGTACCGAGCTAGAAGCTGGCCCTTACGGTCTTCCTGGAAATGCCAAATTTACCCACCACAGCTCCCAGAACCAGCGCGGCTGCACCGCGACTCATAAACGTCTCCAAGTACATACATATCATGTATTCTTCCTTTTGGAGCGTTAGAAACGAGCGTGCCACGCTCTCTCGAGCCGCTTCGTGTTGGCTGATGCAAGGACTTTCAGGATAACGTCGAGTCGGAGGTGTCGGTGCTGTCACGTCATTTGAGAAATATAAGAATTACTAACAGTTTGTAAAGATATCAATAAGTGAGGGTCTCCTCCAACTCGATTTGCCGGAGATGTGGCCGCACCCCAATTGCAGACACCACCACAGGCTACTTATTTACCAAAACAAAAAAAACTACGGCACTTGCTCTCCGTTGTTTACAGCCACTTAACCCTTTGGCTACCAGAAGAAACTTATGGGTCCGCTGGAGCCCACTAGCCAGCAAATCAGCTGGCGGCTCGAAAACAAATTAGCCAACCGAAACAGCATATTTAAGCACGTGGCGATTCTCGCAAAAAATACGATTTGCTCTACGGTACTTCACTTCAAAAGTTTGAAAGGTCGAGCAGTATGCAGTCGGTAGATGGTGCTCAGAGATGCCGTCGCTGCGGCAGCACCCCATGCGAGTGGGAAGAGTTTGGAGAGTGCATCACAGAGAGCTGGCGGCCAGGCAGAGACATCGAGGCCCGCAAAACCTGGGTGTGGCGTTATATCAGCTCTATCACTACTTGAAGCATGGAGCACTGGCTAAAGAGCCCACGCTTCAATTTCCAGTCTGTATCAGGACACATCTCACTCTAATAACCACACAAAGGTGATATTTCTTATTGATCTATTATCTATATCTCTGGCAGCGTCAGCTCATCTACTTTTGTAATGGATCTGTTCTTTTTCAGCCGAGCACGGCCTGTTGCCGTCCCGTCCGAAGCGGCAATAAGTTCATCTAGCGCGGACCTTATTGTGAGCGACTCTGATGTAAACGCATTTCGATAGTGGAAGGCGGCGAAGCATTCAACATGGTAGCCACGCAAGCACGCAGTGCACCCGTACTTTGACATTTTAGGAAGCCCCCGCAGCGAGCACAAATAGCAGGTTAGTTTTGCTTTTGAGTGCTTCGTGGAATTTGGTGTCAGTATGTGCTGGCTTGTGTCAGCACCAACAATTGCTTGTACAGTTTCTCGCTGGGGTGCTGCCTGGTGCTTTCTTCGGACCTGGCGAAAGTGTGTTGCCGTCATTTGCTCAGCAACACGTCGCTTAAATTCGCGCAGTGAAAGATGCTTACACTCAGCGGGGGCAATTTTTTTCATCAAGCAAAACGCCTTGATTAGCGATAGATCCATCGCCCAGGTAAATATGCTCATCTCTACCGAGCCTCCTTTCGACGTATTGGATTGGTACTTCTCAGCTGATCCACGCGGTCAACCGCATTCATGAATATGTTATAGACAGCTTTTGCCGCCGGTACGCTCAGTATTTTGCGATGCAAGTTCTGTTCACCCGTCCATCGTCGAATTGGAGCGAGGCCGTGGCACAAATCGATCGCCTCAGGAGACGATCCGCTCAGGACACGCTGAGAAGGAGTCCCGCTGAGGTCATTCGTGTAAAAGACCACAGGCTTTTTATCCAGGAAAATAATGAATCCCGCGTGGTCTGCTAATCTCATTGTAGGAGTAAATGTTGTTCTTTTTGCCACGGGTAACTTCTTTTGGGCACGGTTATGGGCAGCTTGCCGTCAATCAATAATTTGTTTATTGTCAGCTATTTTCAGACTATTTCATGTCTTGTGCGGCGGTCATTCTGCCGAACTGCTGCCGCTACTAGCTGAGCATCTCACTAGTCTCGATTTTATTCAAGAAAAAACAGCGTTTCTAGAAGTGGAGGGTGCTTTGCTCACGCTGAGTACCAAACCTGTCTGTGAATATAATTTTTCCACTTCATTGAAGCCCGCCTTTATCCACGCGTCAATTAAAACGCTGACCGGCTTCCCCGAAATACGCTGCCGAATTCAGACCTGGACGAACGGAGTTGGGCTCGCGTCATTGCAGTCAGTGACGTGTGCTTACGAGTACGCGTCTTCTCGCAAAACGAGAGCTTGTGATGCTCCATAACAAGCCAGTCCGTTCAATGGTAGGTATTCGTGATGGCAGGGGCGACCGTAACACGGACAAAGTTGCCCATCGTGTTCGGGCGGCCTGCAAGGACGTATTACTCGTCCAGGTACACGCCACTATGATGGCGATTTGGGTGGTCGAGAATAGAAATATATCCACCATTGCGAGGCTTGGAGCGACTCCGGTCACACAGCCGGCAATGGTAGCGGGCATCGTGGTCTTCAAACAGGATTTGGCAGAGCGAGCGTGGGGTTGGACGGCGGCGAAGGTGCTCCATAAGGCCGGGTAGGGCGCGAGTTGGCGAGAAAGGCTAGAGAGATTTTAGGGCTTACAGAAAAATTGTATGCGACCGACAATAACGCGGCTAGCCGTATGTCTGCTGTGCCCAGTGAGTTGCACATTGTCGCGACCGCTAACGCCACCTTGACGGAGCCCACCGTTCTGTGCACTCTCTCACGTTAGCTCGTGTCGACACGATTCAGACGTGAGCCGTTGAGGCCACAGTGTCTAGAAGGAGCGATAGAGCACGTGGACCGCATACGCAAGTCCTGAGGACCCCAGGGTACACGAGAGGGCGGTAGTCAAGCAAGGCAAAATGAACATTTGTTTGAATGTGATTGATAGCTTGCGCAAACAATAATCGAGAGTGATTTAATTGGAATAATTATTAGACAACTCGTTTTTCGAGCAACCCTGCTTCAATGGGCAGGTCGTAGCTTATCAGGTGCTGCATACTGTACTGCAGCGCGCAAGCGTGGCCCTTGGACAATACGAAGCGGTCGCGGCTACTCCACTTTAGATTCTTCGTGTTGAGACCACTGTTCGGTACGACCATAAAGCTCAAGTGCTGTTCGGTGAGCAGCACGTGGGACAGGGGAACGCTTCCTTTAGATACAAGTGACTTCTAGTTGTATACTATAGTATATGCAAGAGGCGCGTAGGGTTAATTGCTAGCAAATACGACTATAATGGCTCCACACACTACCATACCCAAACACACCACTCCGCAGCCGCGAAAGAAAAGAGCATTTTCCTTTGTATTTGCGCGTAATATGCGACCCTTAGAGAATGTGCGCATTTTCCAACACGATACATAGCGTATATGCAGTGCACTGGGAGCAGTGTTTGTGATTGAATTAGCGTAGAAGCACGTGATTAAACAAGAGCATGAAACACGGAGGTAAACCGAGTCAGACTATGTACATAATGCGATAGAGCATCTTGAAATACGGAGGGCCACGGACGATAAAAGAAGAGGTCACGAAATTTCATGCGAAGAACGAGCCACGGCAGAGCACCAGGCTTGGAAAATACGGAGCGACACGAAGAGACGAAAGCGGGTGAGAGCGGAAATAATGACACGCCAACATGCCGAAAAAGCACGGGCCAGGGAAGAGTGCGCACGTTCACAGTCATGGTAGACCACGTAGCTGTGCGAGTGCACGGAAAGGACTTCTCCCACCATGGAAGAGCACGAAGCACGGTTGACGGATTAAACACGAAGCCACGAGAGAACATAAGCGGGAATTCAGCGGGCATTGGAGTACAATAATAGGGCAGCCCGAAGCTCACCGAGCCACAGCACACGATAATACGGTAGCTTACAATATCTTGGACGAGTGACCAGCCTCAACACCACGCTATAACCCAACAGCATGGACGGTAGATTTACCACTAAACCATCGGAGAACACGCAGCCACACAAAATCACCGAGCCGCGGAGGACGATACTACATTAGAACACGATTGCAAAGACGGCAGACCAGCCATAAGACTACGGAGCACACAATATCGTGGACGGTGGACCAACCGCTAAACTATGGAAAACCAAGCAGCCGCAGGAGCTATGTACGGATTACCGAGCCACGTAACACGATACCAGAGTAGAACCTGAGCTTAACGAGCCACTGAGGACAGTAGTACATTAGCACTCGATTGCACGGACGGCGGACCAGCCACGGAATACACGGGGGCGCTTGGGGTGACCACGATTCCACACCGCGGAGCACGAAGCCATTGTAGAATACGATAATATACAGAAACGCAGATAAACTACGCGAATACGATAGCATAGCACAGGACAACCACACCGCGGTTGCATGAGAACGCGGTCGATGGAGTCATACCAGGAGATTACGATACACGAGCGACGGAACAACACGACTGCGGGGAGGCACCAAACTACGGAATAGCACACTTCGGCTAGAGCACCGGCGATGGAAGGTCAACGGCCACGAAAGACTATGTACCAGAAAAAACCGGTGCAGCCAGCGAAACGTTTGAGACCAGGGAATAATTAGCAGCCACAAAAGAGGCCGTACTAAAGCAAATGGACCGAAACGATAGAGCGCTTAACCACTAAGCAGCGTGTGTCACGGGTGAGCAGGGAACCACGAAGCCAGGAAGAGCACGGAAAAGCATGGGTCATTGAAGGACACAACATCCAAACTGTCGTACGGGGTAGCGGAAACGCTACAAACCACGATATTATATGGGACCGGATGAGACTACGGAAAGGTAAGTGGTTAAGTACACGAAGCCAAGATCTACTGGGTGAACGACACTCACAAAACACGCGACACCAAGAGGCACTTAAATTTGCGACGACCTCATCTCCAACAAACCATGCCACTCCGCCGCGTAGCGGCGGCGGCCGGCTAGTCCTAAACTATCAATGCTAGCCCGATGTCCGTCCATCCGTCACACGAAACGATCAGATTTTTTAGCCTTCTCATTGGCTGTCGAGCAGAGCAAAGGCGGTTTTAATTGACTAAAACTGGATTATGTATCTTTCATCAGTAAATTCATGGGTTCACAGTGAGCATATGGTGATTTGCACAAGGTTTTCCATTATCCAAAGGCGGCACCGTTTTAATACTACGAAGGATTTTTTAGTAATATTTACAATTTTATTAATGTATGTTGCTTATTTGAGTGCTAAACAGAGCTACTTATTCTCAAATGAAATGGCCCCTAAAGACGCTTCCAATGCTGTAAGGTGCTTTAGCGTACACGTAGGAATGCGTGTTTCTGAGGACATAGTTTTTAAAACGAAGTACTATGTACTTGATAGTTTCTGCAAGTTACAATGACTAAAATAATAATTACAACTGTTTTGTTGTAGAAATACTAAGAGAATATCTGTAACTGACTGAGCTGCCAAAAGTAGTACATGTACAGCATAAGCTGGCCGTAAGATCAACGCTATGCTAAAAACGTTGTTGCTTGAGCCATTACCATAGATAGTCTCAGATGGACCGAAAATCACTCATAATACGAGTTATTCTACTGGGTCACTACTTTGACCGCTAAGAGAGTTAAATCAAGCCGTTAGTCAAAAGGTCTGTAACGGGCCAGTTATCTCCCCGGCCGTGGGGCAGGTCGTACTCCTCCCACAAATACTGCGCTGGGGGTTCGCCCTGGTTAGTCGCCGCCCGTACGGAACTTCCTCACTGAACTGGTCGACAGAACCCACTCGGTTCTGCGCCGGAACGTCCACTAAGAAGTGTCCGTTCCTATTTATATGTACGCAACACCACCCTTGCTGCACTACACGCTCCTACTCAACCCTCGTGTACTATTCCAAGCACCAGCCTTTCACGTCGCTGCGCTACTTCGTCGCCCGCGTGTTCACCGCACTGAACGCCACCCGACTCTTCACACATATCTCAGGTGCCTCTCAGCCCCTCGTTGCGCCCTCCAGTCGTCAGCGCTGTCCGTGGGGTCGTCACGTGCTCCGCTGGCTGTAGTTCGCTCGCTAGCCGGTCGGCCTCCTTCCGGCTTGCTCGCTCTTTCGTTTCGGAGACTCGGACGGCCTTCGTCTGCCGGTCCTCGTTCCCTCTTCCGGCTTCCAAGTGCGTCTTCCGCCACACGTGTCAGGTCCTGTGCCAATGTCGCAGATCCAAAAGTGAGCTGCCCGGTCCTTCGCCTCACACTGCTCCCCTCCTTTGTTCATCGCAGTGCGGCTGCTGCGCGGTACTTCATCATAGCCCACCCCACTATTCTTCATCATCCATTTCGGCTTTCATGAGCCTGGCCACTTAGCCAGCACACTCACGTCGGCCTCTTCCGTCCTTCGTTTCTGCTGCCATGAGCCTGACCACTAGCCAGCACACTCACGTCGGCCTCTTTCGTCCTTCCTCTGTGCTCACACTGGCATCGTCGACCATTCGTGCTGCCAATCACCTCTTTGACCGGTACCGTAGTGGCCCACCGGACTGCACTCACAGTGTGTGAGGCACACATCGTTCCCGGCTGGCTTCACGAACATGGCCGCCAGCGGGCACGCTCACACATCGCCCACCTCTCTCTCGTCCTCCATGCTCAAACCGTCGTTCGCACCCCGCTTGTACTGCCACTCATTACCTGACTTTGCAGCCATGTGGTCCACTCGACCGCTCGATCCGTTACAGGTCTGCTGAAAGTGCTGGAAGTGATGACAGACATGCACCGAATCGGTGAAATCTCCGCTGTACGGTGGGTTCTCCATTGTCGCCACCGATAATAGGTAAGAATTGAGATTCAGTTGCTGCTGCGGCTACTCGCGAGGCCTTCTGCGAAGCGAAACGTTGCGCAAAACAAAATAATACTTACGAACCTAAGTACGAATCGCGATATAAGCACTCTAAACGAAAGCGAGGTATCTCCTCTATTTCTTGAGCCCTTATAAGCTACAGAATGCTTAAAAAGGAAGAAGTTGTGGTCGCTCAAAAATATTATCTTCATTTATGGGCCCTCGAAATGACGATACATTTAGGAGTGTTGTGAGCTCAATATTTTTCAGATTCAAAAATTCAAGTGTTATTTAAAAACCCTTGTTAAAAGCAATTGAATAAGGGTAGTTTTACAGTTTTTTTTCGATGGAAGCTCACGCCAAATGTCACAGTTGCGAAAATTAATTTGCCTCTATTATCTCGATAGCACTAAATGGTTCGTAAGTCTCAACATATTTTGTGGAGGTGATAATTTTACACTGTAAGCGAATTGATTGACACCTTTGTTTTTTAAACGCTGTTTAGGCAGCAAAAACTGGCACTACTAAACCGGAGGACGTGTCGCCAATAAGGGCGTAAAATAAAGTTTTAAATGGAGCGGATAGACAACAACACAACTTGAGATGCGTAAATTATGGTTGGTTAATCAGACCCCATTAAGAAACGTCAAGCTTAAAGTATAATTGATCGTTAAACCATCCCGGAATCTTATTAAAACCATAAAAAAAAAACACACACACACACACCGCCAAACCAACAACAACAGCAAGACGTCTTGCGACGCATTATTCAAATGTTTTAATCATAACTGAGTGTCGTATGACTAATTTTGAATCAGCACAAAATGAACGCACTTCAAAATGAACTAAGAATGTTACAGTTTGAATATTTTTCAGCTTTCATTGAGTTAGAAGTGATCAATCTTCAGTTAATTAAAGCAGTGCACGCGTTATTTAGTGCAAGCTGGGCAGGCCATTAATATTCTTTGCGTTGATGCGAGCTAAGCTTCATAGCGGCTCAGAAACGGTCATGATATCGAGCACGACGCTGAATTATTAA